CAGACATCTGGCAGCAGACCTCTTGGTGGCAGTTGCAGAGGTAGTGGTGGCTTGTGTGCAGATCAGTGGTAGGTTGGCAGTGGTTGCTGAGAAGCACCCAGAGGAAAAACTTGGGTTACTGGCAGCCAAAGAACAAACCTTTGGGTGATTACATTGATGAGGCTGGCAGCTGCAACTGGTGAAAAGACTTTGGGTGACCCATTTTTTATTCATTTTAAAATTACATAATTATCCCTCAGTGTTAAGTGGGGAATGGTTGCCAAATATCAAAATTCATGGATACTTAACTGTATATAAAAATCAAATATAGTATTTTGATATATTATATGTACCTTTGTGGGGGTCAGTCTGAATGATTTGCATTCTCCTTCCTTGAGCTGAAGAGGTTTTGACTGTCACTATATCTTGTAATGACCTGGACATTGCCCTTGTCCCAGAGGTTGAGGATGAATTTTCAGACATACACATGTCACCCCATGTATTGAGCTATGCTCACCTGTTCCTTTGTGATACTACCCCTTTTCTCTCTTTGGGATAGAATGTTCCATGAAAACGTTCTTTGTGTGTCCCTTTATTTTACTCTGCTTTTGGGTGTGGCCTTCCTAGATGTCAGTCAACCTGCTTACAGCAGTCATCAAGAAGCTAAACTCAACCCCCTGAAACCTGATCCCTTGCCTCATTTGAATGGCTTCTCCTCCATAAAAGGGTTTAGCTTGGGTTCATGTTCTCTCTTTTTGTGGACTGTTAAGATCAGAGGAGCCATCACAGGACTCCCTGAAAAAAGGTATATCTGCCTCTTGTGTGGTTATTTCATGTATCCCAGTTCCCCCAGAGTGATCTTGAGTGTTTAGTCATGAGAAATGTGATGTACCTTTTCATGGGCTTTTTATTGATCTGTTAAATATTTAAAATTCCTAATATAATGTGCATGCTATGTAAGCAGCTGTCATATTCTACTCTTAAGAATACGATGACAAGAGAAAATCCTGTACATGTGCTGTTCAGGTGATTTTTTGTTTTTATTTAATACTTTTAACCCATGTTAAGTGAATTCATGTTTGTGACAAAAATATCAGTGGATTTGGAGTTGTGCCTATATTTTGCTTTTTTACCTTACTTTATACATTCCCCTAAATTTAAAAAATAACATTTCTGGGCAAGTTAGTATTCTCTGTTACATGACTGGTATAATATATAAAATAACTTTAATTGTATAAGTTTACATTCTCTTTAACATCAAATGTTTTATTTTGTATTTACTTATATTCAAGACAGAGTAATATCAACTTTGCATAATTTATAAAGGTTTGATTTTTAAAAAGGGAACAGATAAAGACATGTTAGTACTCTGAAAACCTAAAAATGTTCAAATAATGTGTAATTGATCCATGGGCCTAAAAATCATACTGGATTTTTTAGTTTTTCCTGAAGATATTTTTCTTTACTTTTCTTTCTTTATTTTTTTATAACTTTATTTTATTTATTTATATGTGGTGGGAGGATCAAACCCAGTGCCTTGCACATGTGAGGAAAATGTTCTACCGTTGAGCCATAACCCCAGCCCCCTTTTAAATTTTCTTTGTAGATAATATTTCTTTTATTGAAACAAAATATTGTAAGTGAATTGTTCAGTGCAGTTCTACATGGCATTTTGCTTTGGAGCAAACAGAAAAAGATGAAATGACTATACTACAAATTCCATATTCAATCCATTTCTCAATCATGCCTTCTAATCAATTCTGGTGTTGTGATTTGAGAAAATAAATTACTCTACAAAATACAAATAGTTTTAGCAGAGGATTTATTTTCTTTTTCTTCTTTTCTTTTTTTTTTAGATATTTAAATTTATAAAAAAAAATCATTTTTGAGATGTAAAGAAAATGGCTGCTTATGATCATCCCACAAATGTTGTGAGTCAGAGCTGATTTTCTTTTGTGTTTTACAGTGAACTATACAAAAACAGAATAAAGAAACTGGAGGGAGATTGGAAAGAGGAAAGACAATAGAATCTGATATAACTTTTTAATGTTCATATATACACCACCAGTGTATATACTCCATATAATGTACAATCAAAAATGGGATCCTAATCAGTATAAATTATACTGCATATATGTATAATATGACAAAATAGCCTGTATTGACAAAAATATTTACAATGACAAAAATTTTTAAAGGAAGCTTATTTTAATATTAAGGCAATTATTGTCATAATTAGTCTATTATATATAAAATTTATTATGTGGGTGAAAAAATTTTATTGGACCCCATATACAGGATTTTAATAATAAAAATGAGATTTACAGGCAGGTGGCTGTATATAGAAGGTCACTTTCCTGGCTGGTCCATGATATAAAACTAAGAAAGCAGAAAGGCAGCTTCTCAGAAAGGTGGGTAAAACAAAAAGGGAGAGATTTTACAGAAAATTAATTATAAACAGGAAAAGCAGATCAGAAACTGAAAAGGTTGGGTATATTAAAATAAAGAGAAAAAAACCAGCACCTCTTCCATCCTGCTGGCACCTGCTGTAGTGGTGCTCCCAATTAATTAAGTGGACAGATGAAGCAATTAAAGGAACCACATTTCTAGGAATCTTGAGATGTAACTGATTATGAAGAGATCAGAGATGAAAGACATTGCTTAACTTGAAAGGCATGCTGCATAATATAATCAGGCAGAAAAGAAGCTAAATTTCTTCCAACTTCCCAAAGAGAACAGAGGAAAGAACCATTTTTCAGCCTTGGCATGGGAACCAGCAGCTAGGAGAACAAATTCCTGACAAACCAAGCTTGGTAAAAAATACAAGCCTGTTAGACATAGTTTCCCCCAAGAGATAAGGAGAAAATTAAATGTGGACACAGATCCACAGAAATACAGGATGGGGAAACCCACTAGGCTTCTGTTCCTCCTTTCTGGAGCAGATTATTTCAGAAACATCTAAGAGATATAAGCTTGCCATGAATATGAAAAAATGGTTGAATTTTGATACTGAACCTGAGAGACTAGGCAACATTGGATCCTCAGGTGATGGAGAAGATTATTTAGATTTTAAAACAGGATAGATTCCAAATAAATACTCTAATGTTATTACTCAATGCTATAGAAAAGCAGTCACAAACTAATTACAAAATCAGTAAAAGTCAGAAAATAATTAAGATTAAGACCAAATTAATAAAATTGGAAATTAATATAAGGGATCAATGCAAAAATTGTTGGTTATTTTCAAGAGGAAACAGGGCTGATAAACCCTTCAATACACTAAGGGGGGAGGGGAGAGAGAGAGAGAGAGAGAGAGAGAGAGAGAGAGAGAGAGAGAGATTTATTCCCATATCAGAAAAAAATAAAAATATAAAATCAAGAAATCACATCATTAGACTCATTGGCAGCCACAGAGGAAAAAAAAAATGATAGAGAAAGAGTTTAGGATATACATGGTTAAAAAGTTCTGTGAACTCAAGGAGATATAAGAGAGAAAATACAGGCAGTAAAAGATCACTTCAACAAGGAGCTATGTAAACAAATGAAGGAAGCAAAAGATCATCTCAACAGGAAGATAGAGATTCTAAACAACAAAACAAAAACAGAAATTCTTGACATGAAAAAAAATAAACCAAATTAAAAGCTCAAATGAAAGCATCAACAAGACAGTAGACTACTTGAAAGACAGGACATCTGATAATGAAGGTAAAATATATAATCTTGAATAGAACATAGACCACACAGTAATAATGGTAAGAAACCAAGAGTAGAACATTATGGAATAGCATATAGAGACCAAATTTAAGAGTTACTGGAATAGAGGAAAACAGAAGTCCAAACCAAATGAATAAATATTCAATAAAATACTATCAGAAAAATTTCCAACAATGAGGAATGAATTGGAAATCTAAAGTCAAGAAGCCTACAAAATATCAAATGTAAAAAAATCACAACAAAATTGCACAAAGACACATTAAAATAAAAATGCCCAACATACAGAAAAAGAAGAAAATTATAAAACCAATGAGAGAAAAAAATCAGATTACATATAAAGAAAAACAAGTAGAATAATGGCATATTTTTCAACATAGGCCCTGAAAGCTAGAAGATCCTGGAACAACATATTTATAAAGCTCTGAAAGAAAATGGGCACCAACCAAGAATTTTTATACAGCAAAATGAAGCTTTAGACTTGAAGATGAAATAAAAGTTTCCATATAAACAAAATAATTTGTAACTAGAAAACTGGAACTACAAAATATTCATGGCAAAATATTCCATGGAGAGGAGAAAAGAAAGAAAGGAGAGAGAGGGGGGGGGAGGAAAGAAGGAAGGAAGGAAAGAAAGAAAGAAAGAAAGAAAGAAAGAAAGAAAGAAAGAAAATTAGCAGAGGGTGGTAGTATTCTAAAAAAAAAACAAACAAAACTAATCAAAGAAGAAAATTAAGTCAAGTTAARTAACAAAAATAAACAAATATCGCTGGAAATAGAAATCATGTCTCAATAATAAACCTGAATGTTAATGACTTAAACTTACCAATCAAAAAACATAAGAATAACAGACTGGATTAAAAAACAAACAACAACAAAAAAGACCAACATAATATATTGCCTCCAGGAGACTCATCTGATAGGAAAAGACACAAACAGACTGAAGGTGAATGTTGGGAAAAATCATACCACTCACACAGTTTGCAGAAGCAAGCAGGGGTTTTCATCCTCATATCAAATTAAGTAGACTACAACCCAAAGTTGATCAAAAGGGATAAAGATGGACATTACTACTGCTCAAGGGAATCATAAGCCAACAAGACACAACAGTCATAAACATATATGTCCCAAACAATGGGACAGCTATGTTCATCAAACAAATTCTACTCAAGTTTAACAGTCAAATTGACCACAATACAATAATCTTGGGTGACTTTAACACACTTTTCTCACCACTGGATACATCTTCCAAACAAAAATTAAATAAAGAATCTATAGAACTCAATAAAACAATCAATAATTTAGACTTACCTGACATGTAAAATATTCCAACATGTATCAAATATATACCCTTTCTTCTCAGCAGCACATGCATCCTTCTCTAAAATAGATGAAAAAGAAACTCTTAGCAAATACAAAACAGTAGAGAAACTATCATGCATTTTATCAGATTATAATAAAATAAAATTAGAACTCAATGATAAAATTAAAAAAAAATTAAATCCACTTCAACATCTGGAGACTAAATAATATGCTAATGAATGAGCAATGGGTTACAGAAAACATCAAGGAGGAGATTAAGAGATTCTTAGAAGTAAATGAGGACATAGACACAACATATCAAACTCTCTGGGACACTATGAAAGCAGTACTAAGGGGAAAATTCATTACATGTAGTTTATTCCTTAAAAGAAGAAAAAGTCAACAAATAAAAGAACAAAACAGCATCAAATTATAAGGCAAGAAATAATTAAAATTAGAGGTAAACTTAATGAAATTGAAACAAAAGAAACAATTGAAAAATTTGACAAGACAAAAAAATGGTTCTTTTAAAAAAATAAACAAAATCAACAGACTTTTAGCTATGCTAATGAAGAGGAGAGAGAAAACTCAAATTATCAGCATATGTGATGAAAAAGTTAATATCACAACAGACACTACAGGAATACGGAGGATAATTAGAAATTATTTTGAAAACTCATACAACAATAAAAACAGAAGACATTGAAGGCATTGACAAATTTGCTAAGTCATGTGATTTGCCTAGTAGAATTAGGAAGATATACACAAATTAAAGATATACACAAATTAAGACCAATATGAAATGATGAAATAGAAGACATTTCCAGAAGCCTACAAACAAAGAAAAGCCCAGGAGCAGGTGAATACACAGATGAATTCTACAATATCTTTACAAAAGAACTATTACCAATACTCTTCAATTTATTTCAGGAAATACAGAAAGAGACAGAACTTCCAAACTCATTCTATGAGGCCAATATTACTCTGACACCAAAACCAGGCAAAGACATATCAAGAAAGAAAACTTTAAAACCTTAACTCTAGTGAACAAAATGCAAAAAAATTCTCAATAAAATTCTGGCAAATCAAATATAAAAACATATAAAAAAGATCATGCACGATGATCAAGTGGGATTGATCCCAAGAATGCAAGGTTGGTTCAACAAAAGGAATGACAATCAATAGACTCAAAATTTAAAAAATCATATTATTGTCTCAATAGATGCAGAAAAGTCATTTGACAAAATACAGCACTCTTTTATGTTCAAAACACTAGAAAAATTAGGAGTAACAGGAACATATCTCTATATACTGAAAGCTGTCTATGAGAAGCCTCAGGTCCAACATTTTAAATGGAGAAAAATAAAAGGCAATCCTCTAAAAACTGAAACAAGACAGGGATGCCCTATTTCACCACTTCTATTTAACAGTTCTGGAACCACTGGCCAGAACAATTAGACAGATGAAAAAAATTAAAAGGATATGTATAGGTAAAGAACTTAAATTAGCACTATTTGCTGATGATATGATTCTTTACCTAGAAGGCCCAAAAAGCTCCACCAGAAAACTTCTAGAACTAGTAAATGAATTCAGCAAAGTAGCAAGATATAAAATCAACACCAATAAATCAAAGCCATTTCAGTATATCAGTGACAAATCCTCTAAGAAATAAATGATAAAACTAATCCATTTACAATAGCCTCCAACCCAATAAAATTTGGGATCTAAGTTAATGAAAGAGGTAAAAAATGTATAAAATGAAAACTATAGGAGCCTAAAAAAGAAATCAAAGAAGATCTTAGAAGATGGAGAGATCTATTCTTCTTGGATAGGCAGAATTAATATTATCAAAATCCTACTGGCATTTCTCATAGACATACAAAAAACAATAATGAAATTTATCTGAAATAATAAGAGACCCATAATAGTTGAAGCAATCTTTAGCAGGAAAAGTGAAGCAGGTGGCATCACTATACCAGACCTTAAATTTTACTTCAGAGCAATAGTAACAAAAACATCATGGTATTGGCATTGAAACAGACTGGTAGACGAGTGGTACAGACTAGAAGACACAGAGACTAATCTATAAAATTAGAATCATATTAGACAAAGGTGCTAAGAACATGCATTGGAGAAAAGATAGCCTCTTTTAAAAATGGTTCTGGGAAAACTGGAAATCCATATGCAACAAAATGTTATTAAACCCCTAACTCTCACCATGCACAAAACTCAAAGTGGATCAAAGATCTTGGGCTAGACCAGAGACTCTGAGTCTAATGGAAGAAAAATAGGCCCTAATCTCGACAATCTGTCACAAGAATTAAAACTAAGAAACAATAAATGGGATGGATTCAAGATAAAATGTTTCTTCTCAGCAAAAGAAACAATCTGTGAGGTGAATAGAGAGCCTACATCCTGGGAACAAATTTTTACCTCTCACACATCAGAGTACTAATCCCTAGAAAAGAATATACAATCAATCAATAAATATAAGGAAAATTGTTTATCATTACTAACAATTAGATAAATGCAAATAAACTTCTCTAAGATATCATCTCACTGCAGTTAGAATAGCTGCTATTATGCATACGAACAACAATAAGTATTGGTGAGGATGTGGGGAAAAAAGGTACACTCATGCATTGCTGGTGGAACTGCAAATTGGTGCAGCCAATATAGAAATCAGTATTGAGACTTTGGAATACTGAGAATGAAATTACCATTTGACCCAGCTCTCCCTCTTCTCGAAATATACCTAAAGGACTTAAAAACAGCATATTACAGGGACTCAGCCACATCCATGTTTATATCAGCACAATTCACACAATAGCTAAACTGTGGAGCAAATCTAGATGCCCTTCAGTAAACAAATGGATCAAAAATGTGGCATATATACACAATGAAATATTACTCAGCAATAAAAGAGAATAAAATTATGGCATTTGCAGATAAATGGATTGCATTGGAGAAGATAATGCATTGTGAAATCACCCAATCCCCCCAAAAAAACAAATGCCAAACGTTTTCTCTGACATAAGGAGGCTGACTCATAGTGGGGTAGGCAGGGGGGAGCATGGGAGAAATAGACAAACCCTAGATAGGGCAGAGGGTTGGGAGGGTAGGGAGGAGGCAGGGGGTTAGCAAGGATGATGAAATATGATGGACATCATTACCCAAAGTACAAATATGAAGACATGAATTGGTATCAACATACTTTATATACAACCAGAGATATAAATAGCTGTGGTATTTATGTAATAAGAATTATAACTCATTACACTGTCATTTATTTAAAAAAAAAATTAAATAGAAGATCTTTACATGAGTATATAAAAAGTACTAAAATCCATTTGGAAAAATAGAAGACCCAGAGTAAACAAAGCAATGCAAGTTAAGAAGAGCAATGCTGAAGACATCAGAATTCCTGATTTCAAATTATACTATAGAACTATAAAAAACAAAAATAATAATATTGACATTAAAAGAAAAATGACAAACTTTAGAGTAGAAGACACAAAAATTTACTTAACTAAAATTACTTGATCTTGAGAAAAATACATCATGGAGAACACTAGCCTTTTAAACAAATAGTTCTGCAAAAACTGATATGTATTGGTAGCATAATGAAACTCGCTCTCTTTCTCTCTAAATAAAAAGCAACTTAAACAGAGACCTGGGAATTAAACTAAAAATATTAAAACCACTTGAAGTAACATAAGGTAAACACTGCTATATGCCTGTACAGAAACCTTAATAGACCTTTGAATTCAAGATATAAAATCAAGTATATGAGAGGTTTTTAAATTTAAGACACTGTTTATGACAAAGAGAAAGATAATGTGAATAAATAATGTACAGATTTGGAGAAAAATTCTATCAGCTATTCTTTCAACAGGAAATTAGCATCACAATATATAAAACAACTCCTAATACTTAATACTAAGTAAAACAACTTGATCAAAAAAATTCTGAACAGACATTTCTTAAAAGAAGATGCAGATGCAGATGAAGTGTTACACAGATGAAGAGATAGAAAGAAAGCTTACATTACTAAAATGTATGATGATAAATATCAAAATGAACCCTACTGAAATACAAAAGATAACTAGAAACTATTTTGAAAACTTATATTTCATTAAATAGAAGATCTTTAAGAAATCATCAAATTTCTAGAGACTTATGATCTATCAAATCTAAATCAGGAGGACATACATTATTTAAACAGTTCAATTTCAAACAATAAAATAGAAGATAATATCAAAGATGCCTACCAACCAAGAAAAGCCTAGGATAGGTGGACTCTTTGCTGAGTTTTACAAGAACTTAAAAAAAAAAAACTCAAAAGTTCTCCAAGTATTTCATAAAACAGAAAAAACCCACCCACTTGTCCATACTTATTTTATGAAGCTACTATCACCCTTTTGATACCAAAACCACACAAAGACACCTCAAGGAAATAAAACTTCAGACTAATATCCCTGATGAATAGGAAGGCAAAAATTCTCAATAAAATATGGCAAAATCCCATACAAAAACATATTAAAAGATAGTGCACCATGTTTGAGTGGGGTTCATCCTAGAGATGCAAGGATGGTTCAATTACAGAAATATATGAACACGAATCATCATATCAGTACACTTACAGACAAGATTTATATGGTAATCTCAATAGATGCAGAAAAAGCATGTGACAAAATACAGCACCCCTACATGTTCAAAATCCTAGAAAAACTAGGGATAGCAGGAACATACCTCAACATCATAAAAGCTGTGTATGCTAAACCCAGAGCCAACATAATTCAAATGGAGAAAAATTAAAAACATTTCCTCTAGGAATTGAAGCAAGGCAAGAATACCCTCTATTACCACATAGTTCTGAAACTTCTAATTAGAGAAATTAAAGAGAAGAAATATAACAAACATATACAAATATGGGATGAAGATCTCAAATTATCACTATTTCCTGATGACATGATTCTATATATAGAAGATCCAGAAAAATTTCACCAGAAAGCTTCTAGAACTAACAAATGAATTCAGCAAAGTAGCAGAATCATACTCATAAGTCAAACAAAAAAA